GGCTTCTGGACGGCCGCTCACTGTGGCTGCTGGCCGCTCACGCTGGCTGCTGGCCACACACGGCAGCCCATGGCAACCCACTGCCACAGGGGCCGCAGCCTACGCCGTCGCCGGCAACTCACAACAGCCCAGCTCCAGGTCGAGCCGCCGTTCAGCATCCCAGCTGTGGAGGGCAGTGTCACTGGCCCTCATATGTGGGATCCGAACCGGGGCCCTCTGGCATCCCAAGCCAGTTCTTAACCATTGCACCACTTGGCCGGCCCTACTGATGTCTAATTTTAAAAAGCAGTTATTATAGAAAAATTCAAACAAAAAAAGTAAAGGGAATAGTATAATTAACTCATGTAATCATCAGCCAGCTTCAACAATGATCAACTCAGGGCCAGTGTGATTTCACCCATGCCTGCTATTTTGAAACAAATCCCAGTAATATGTCAGGATGTTTCTGTAAGATCTTAAAAACAAAACCTCAATATCATTATCATACCTAAAAAATTAACAGTAATTACTTAATATCATCAAATATTCAGTCAGTACTCACAAATCTCTGATTGTCTTTTTTTTTTATTACTTTGATTAGGGATCTTAAGTTCTATACATTGCATTGCTTGATATGGCCCTTAAGCCTCTTTTACCCTGTAGGTTGCCTATTTATCTCTCGTTGTCTCCTTGTAATTTATTTGTTGAGGAAATCAGGTCATTTGTTCTGTAGAGTCCCCAGTCTGAATTTTGCTGACTACAAACTCTCGCTGACATTTACCATATGCCTCTGGGCCCTCTAGCTCCTGTAATTTAGTAGGTCGATCCAGAAGCTTGATCAGATTTGGGTTTGATTTTTTTTTTCTTCGATATTCCTTTCTAAGGTGCCGGAAGGATTTTGCATAAAGGTAGACATTTTGGAAACAAAATCAACTGTCAAGGCTAGGCAGCTAACACATGTGAATTCATGGCCCAGAATTAAGGAGCTTGACTTTGGCCATGGTGTGTCCAGTTTCTACTGGGAGGATCCCTTTCCTGTCTTGGGTCCAGGTTTATCCCTGCGCCTCAGATATGTTGCCTCCATATCTGCATTTGTGCCTCTCCTTTCCAGCACCTGCAGATGTTCTACGGGAATGAGCATTTCCCTGAGACCAGAGAGCATCGCTCTTTCTAGCTAGTCAGTGATGAGGAAATCAGCATTTTCTAGCAGCTACTGTTATAAAATGCAGCATTTGCTCAGAGTGACATCTGCTGGCTTTAAAAAAAGTATTATGTGACACAAAGTATTTGCTCAGAGTGACATCTGCTGGCTTAAAAAAAATAATTTATTGAGATGTAGTGGCCCTTTCTAAAAGGGAAATCAATTTGTAGTTGGTTTTTAAATGTGTTTTATTGTATTTTTTATTATGCAAGGATCTCATAATCATGAGAAAAATCTCAAAAGATACTGAATAATAGTAGCCTTGGCAATTAGATATGTTTCCAAAATTTCACTCAAAACTTCTCTGGAGCATCATGTAAATAGAAAGTGAACCCACACTCAAGAATAACCACAGCTAATGGTAAATTATTCTCTTTAATGTCTACATAGTATTTTAAAGAATTGGGGGGCATCATAATTTATTCATCCCATCCCTCCTTAGTGGTCTTTGGAGTAGATTCCAGTTATTTTGTTATTATAAACAATGCTGCTAACATCATCTCTGTTCATGGGGTTTTTGTACCCTTGAGAGTATTTCTGAAGATAGTCATCTAAAAGTAGAATTACTGGGTCAAATAGAATAAGCACTTTTTTGCCCCACTTTACACCTCTACCAACAATGCATGAGAGTACCTGTTTCCCCACATACTCACACCATAAGAATATTATCGCTTAAGTAAAAATCTTTGTGTCGCTTGTTTTTTCACCTTTTTGTTAAAAATAAGGATTTTTTGTTGCCATGACTAGGTTCAGTTCTGTGTGATGCTTTTTTTTCTAATCATTAATCCTTCTAGAGATATGTCATTCTGAATTTGTAAACTAGTGGTGGATCCCAACTTAGAAACAATAATTTTTTTACAGTTATTAATATTCACTGAGCATTCATCATACTCAGATGATATTTATGGAGTGTCAACTGTGTGCCTGGCCAGTTACCAGAGACACAGTGGTGAGTGAATAGGACATGAAACCTGCTCTCTATTATTAGGGAGCTCACAGACCAGTGTAGGAGACCAGTACATAAGCCAATCACTGCCCAGAGTGGGTGATTATGGCTCTAACAGAAGGAACTCAAGGCGAGGTGGTGACTGAGGGAAAGAAGTGAGGTGCGTGCAGATGGGTCAAGGAAAGGCCTCACAGAGGAGAAGACATTTGAGCTGGGTCTTGAAGAATGAGGCCACACAAACCAGGGGGACAGCAATTCAAGGACGGGAAACCAGAATGAGAAAGATATGGATGGTAAAACTAGGGCACCAAATAGCTAGAACAGGTTTAGGAAGCAGCTCAGATTTGAAACTGCAGAGATGAGCACAAGCTACATCATAGAGTTTGGACTTTACCTGTAAGGCTGATGTTTCTCAAACTCTATACACTTTTATTTTTAAAAAAACATTACCCCAATACTGTAATTGAAAAGCCAATTTCATTAGCCATAAGATACCAGAAAAATAGATTTAGTAAAAGAAAAAGAAAAAGAAAAAAAAACCAAGTGAGTACATTTGAAAGAGCTTAAAATTAATACAAAATGAAATATAATAATGAATCTAATCTGTTTACAAAAAATGCATGCCTAAAATTATCTTCATCTGGGAAAAAAATAAAATGGTTTATAA